CACAAAATGTGACGACCGTGTGCCCCCACACACAACAAGCGGAAAGCGTGGCTTCAATTGGGTGTCCGGGTGCTTCGTGATCCGGAACGTGCGGTCGGCTTTGACCTGAAAAAAAACTAACAAGGGATAAAATGTTAATGCCAAACCGAACATGTCGGGTGAGACCAGATAGTTCCATATATACGGCCCTGAAGCCACTTTCAACGACATACAGCTATAGGAAGCTATCTGCCAGCAAGTTTATAAACCATTCGGCTAATCGTAAGATGAGCACACGTAAAGATCCGATTGCCGAATGCATGTGCATGGGAAGACATGTTTGAACAAGTGAAATTAATCATGAGTTAATGCATAACCAAGCTCAGCAATCCAGCCGAGTTGGGGTCCATGAAGAAGGAACGTGCAAATAAACACGATTAAACTAATCTAAAACCTGCATCGCACAACACCTAGTTTCGTCAAAGCTTAAACGTAATTAACATGCATGAACCCACGACATGTGACAATCTAGATTAAAATAATTCAGCCATTACGAGCATGTTATCTATTTGCAAAGGTAATACGAAAGTAATGATCATTGAAGCACGAATAAAACCATAAGAGAGGGCCGAACAATATCAATCTAGATTGGGCAGAAGTGTGTTACAAATATATAAAATATTTAAAACATGCAACACAGGATAACTTAATGAATCTATTTAGATTTTGCCGTATCTAATAGAGCCGATAACTGTCTTGCCTTCACTAAGCATATTGAGCAAACGCCCAAGACGGTATCTACTCATAAACAAAGCATAAGCAAAGACTTCTTGATTGTCAAGCAAAGATCCGCCAAGACGATCATTGAAAACAAACAAGACTACTTGCATCACGTCTAAATCCACCGCATGATACTAAACATGATAACAAGGTTGTCGGAACTTACGGAGGTCGACGGATCGATGACTCCTCTCGAAGGACTCGACGACACGACAAAAGGACTCGAAAGTTGGCACGGGGCCGGTTGTATTGATTTGGTTGTGAACGCCTATTACAATGGTCGAGGGTCAATATTTATACCCTAGACAAAACACGAGTCCTAAAAGACTACGATTTACAAAGGAACTCTTAAACAAACTTGGAAACTATGATTCCTTGCCCTAAACTCTCAGAGTCCTTTATTATTACAACTTTCATCTTTTCGATCGGCTTTGCCTGCCATCTTCTGCTTTTTCGAATGGAGTCACCACCTTCTGAAGTAACCAACCGCACAAGCATTTAGCCGACCGCTCGTTTTGTTTGCCGAATGTCCTTCTTCCTGTATGCGGGTCCACCTGTCATCTTCCAAAGTCGACCAAAATCCAGTGTTAACAGTCTCTTTGCTATTGGGTCGGTTCCGGGTATCAAATCAATGCTGAACTCCAAGTCTCTGTCTGGTGGCATTCTGGGTAGATCTTTCGGGAACACATCGGGGTACTCACATATGACTGGTACTTCTTCAATAGTTGTTGCTTGTATGTTGCAAACCATTGGTTCTGCTTTTGGGGCTTGTGGGTGACATTCTACCTTTATTCCATTGTGGTTTCTTAGGGTTACTGCTCTGTCACTACAAGATATATTGCCATGATGTTTCCTTAACCAATCCATTCCTAATATTATGTCCAAACCTTCTGCTTTAGGGGTTGAATCCTAGCGGAGCATTTCCATTCCCACTAGTCCCCGAGTTAGTTCCAAGTTGCATTACCAGTTTCATTACACATAAAAGCAGAGCTAATCATAGGTGATCTCATCCCAGCATCTACCCATTCCAAGGAGGTGGATATTCGAATAGATTCATCAAACTCTGCAGAGGTGTACAAGTTTCCCCACATGATAGACGCAATCCCATCCATGATCAGTAGACGGGATAGGCCTAACGAAATCCCGTACCTGAAAGTATGCGATCTTAGATTTCCATACAACTCTTCTACGGCTTCTCAGGGGTTGGAAACACACTAATCTCGGGAGGATACCTAATCGTCCCATCTCATAATCCCGGATGATACCACATCGTCCCTTCATATAATTTCGGACGATTCCAAATCATCCCAATACAACAGTGCCGATGATACCTAATCATCATAATAAACAACAATATGGGCTCAAATGTGGCCAAAACTCAAGGGGCTTAACGTGGAAGATCACATAGCAACCACGCCAACTGGGCCACGAAAGATCACATAGTATCCGTACCTTCTCCTAATATTCCGCTGCCTATACCGGCCTCCTAGTAGAAATTATACTTCTATCTAGCGGGGTGTGGAGTCAAGTCTACCATATTAGATGTGTGGTTGTACGTAAAGTCTCACTAGGTGAGATGGCCTATGAACCAGCCCTTAAGTGACCGAGGCTAGTATCTCCCATAGGACCCCTATCCAGGCGATCCTGCTAAGACAACTTATCTCGCATAAGTTATCCCCACTCGCCCCATGTCAGGGTTTCATTTCAGGATTACCATTTTTTAAGTTCAACAAACTATTATACGTAGGTTACGCTTATGTCATGGAGCTCTTAAAGTAAAAAGACAACCGTATTGAATGCATTTGAATTTAAATTTGGATGTGTATGCATGTAGGGTGTGTCTGCCAAAGATGCCTGAACCTCCAAAGAGGCAGCTGTTAGAGTAGACACGCATCCAAACGCTGGTACACCCACTGACCAACTCACGAATAGCAAGGCAGCGAGCTGATCGAGCATTGAGTCACCCCAAGTAGGTGGCCCAACGCCCTCGCTCAGCGCCACCATGAGTGGGTCTGACTCGAGGTAGCAGTGTGCAGCAGTAGAAGTAACGGCGTTGTCGACGTAGACAACAGTCACGGCGATGTTGATCTCCCTTGCCATCTTGCCTCGGCGTTGCCGGTGTCCTCGACGGATGTCATTGGCACCCCCCACAGCACCATGCGCGGCACCATCTGAGGTCACTGGACCGCTTTGGTGTATGCTGGGAAGCCGGTGGGTTGTCTCCATGAGCATAGTGCCATCGTTGGTCACCGCCCTTGTCCACCGACACCACAGCCGACCTAGACCGCTTGCAATCCCTAGCGAGGTGCCGGAATCCTTGGCAGCGTAGGCAACGTCGTGGCAACCGGCAAGTCGCTACTCGGTGCGAGTAGGAAAGGTAGTTCAAACATCTGCCGCGAAACACTGTGGGGATGTTCTTGGTCTGCGGTAGCTGTTCTCGGCCACGGCGAGGCTCTGGGGCGGCCACAGGCCGCGTCTTCTACGGAGGGAGGATTTCCTTCCACCCATCGGCGTCAAGGATGGAGACCCATCCACGACGGCTGAGGCGTTGACGAGTAGGGACACGACCGTCGACTGGCCGAGCCGGCATGCCATGCACCAGCTGTGGGCACGGCCGGCTTCACTTCCTCCGCCTTCTCGCATCGGTCCTTGTCGCCCAGCGTCTGCTCTGTCGCGTCCTAGAGCCGTCCCCGTGGCGGCACCATCATGGCCTTGGACCACGATGGAGCGCAGCCGTGGCCGTACAGGCGGAGGCAACGCTGGATGGGGCTTCTGGTGAATGACGTCGATGTAGGTGGGAGCCTTAGGCGAGCTGTCCGCATCGGAGAAGTCAAAGGAGTCCTCATCGTTGGTCTCGTCGCCGTCGTCATCCACCCACCGACGATACTTCGTGCGCCCTCTCGAGTATCGTGGGAAGAATGGTGCCATGGCCGGTGAGAGGGAGGAGGAGCAGGGGTGGCCGGTGACGCCACGGCAGGCCACAAAGGGCCGGACTTAGGCCCGTTCGGCGTGGCGATGATGATAGCAGCGGCGGAGGCAGGGCTCACCCTAGCTCCGGCTCCCACGTGCTAGGCGACCGCAGCGGTGGCAGCATCATCGGCCCCGGTAGCGCAGGTGGCATGTGCGCGGGCAGGGAGCGTGGAGGTGGCGGAGGAGCGGTGGTGGTAGGTGCGGGCTACGGCGCCGGCTGCGCCATGCGCAACCCAGTGCTAGTGGAGGTCGCGGGCGGTTGTGTCAGCTAGGGGGGCGACGATCCTGGCGCCTGCTGCCGTTGGGCCACCAGATCCGGCGTCTGCCGCTGGTGGGCTGCTAGATCCGGGCAGTAGGCGGGCAGGGGCCGTGGCAGAGCCTGGCGGCGACGGCGGCGTGGTCGGCACCCGCGGAGGCGCGCATGGCTGGGCACCAGCGCCTGCTCCAATGGTGCCTTTGGTGGTGGGTAGGGGAGGGGAGGGGAGGGGAGGGGGAGGGCGAGGTGGGGGCCGGCGGTGCCTAGGTGGCGGCGAGGATGCCGTCAGGGGCGCTAGGGTGCTGAAAGCGCTAGGGACTTTTTCCCCTCGAACTAGTACCTTGCAAGATTCGGCTTAGATTCTCAAACTAGTGATGTACTAATCTCCACAACATATCCTCTAAGAGGGTGTTTGGTTGCTCCTCCTAAACTTTAGTCGCTATCCCATCGAATGTTTAGACATATGCATAGAGTATTAAATATAGACTAATTACGAAACTAATTGCATAGTTTACGACTAATTTATGAGACGAATCTTTTAAGCCTAACTAGTCCATGATTTGACAATGTGGTGCTACAGTACTATGTGCTAATGACGGATTAATTAGACTTAAAAAATTTATCTCGTGGAATACTGACGGATTATGTAATTTGTTTTTTATTAGTATCCAAACACCCCATGCAATATCCTCCCGACACACCTCCTAAATTTTAGTCACTGAATCCAAACAACACCTAAATCAGGTTCTTCATTTTTTGAAGTTGCCATGTCAGCCGTAATTTTAACCAATTTTGTGACATCGAAAGGGAAAAAGAGGCAGAGCTGCTAATCTGTGTAAATTGGAAGATGCGAAGGCAATTATCTCATTGACAACTTGTGTTCAAAACCATCCGAAAATTAGCTGCAACATTTTTATCTGAATTCTTAGTAACAAACTAACAATTGGGAAATTGTGGCATCCTTTTGTTTTTCATGCTATAGAACGAGGGAAAATAAAACGCAAAAGCAGCTTGTCTATACCTCCTCGGCGAATCTCACGGTTGTCGCCTCCGACATGTAGACCTCGGCGGCGACGTCGCGGAACGCGTCTGTGAGCCCTCCGTGGGCGGCGTCAATCCACACGCCTCCACCGAAGAGCACGCGCGGGCCCCCAGCGCCGGAGCGGTCGGCGAGGACGCGGTCCGCGATGTGGTGGCCGAAGTCAACGAGCTCCTCGGCCGACGGTGCGCCGAGGAAGGCGAGCAGCTGCGCCAGCATGGCGCTGCGCACGCCCGCGGCCGTCAGTGCCAGCGCCGCGTGCACCGACACCGGCGAGAACGCGACGTTGGTGGTGGTGGCGGCGGCGGCGGCGGCGGAGGTTGAGTCCTCAGCATCAGGAGGCGGAGCGCTTGGAACGCCTGACCGTCCCGGGCTGCGGTTGCAGCGGCGACGGCGGCGGCAAGATGGTCGAAATGAGAGACGAGGAGTCGTGTCGTTTGACGGACGTGTATTTTGTTACTCTGTGCTGGCTTCCTATAAAAACAGAATTTACCTCCACAGAAGATAAATACATTTTCATGAGATCAATATTTAAAGAAAATTAAAAATTATGTACTAGTATATAATATTTACACTTTAAAAATAAAAATAGTAATGCCTACTAGTGCTAGATGCTGTTTGATTGGCCATGTTCTGCACCACTACTTTAGCGGTACTTTTCAGCGAATAAAAAATATTTTTCTTTCACAACAAATCAGCATAAGCCAAAATTTCAGCGAAACAAACAGGGTCATTGATCCAAAAATATACTTATTAGTATGTGATAAATTTGAATGATAAAAGTACTCTTATTTTGCCGTCAAAAGTACTCTTATCTTAGGAGATAGGAAGTTTATAAATATAGACTACTCCCTCCGTCCTAAAATAAATATTGTTATCGCTTTCTAAGGAGTCAAATGCTTGTAACTTTGACCAACTATATACAAGAAAATATTAATATTTATATTACATAATTAGTATCATTAGATAGATCGTTGAATCTATTTTCATATATAATAAGCTAATTTGGAGATACAAATGTTGCTAATATTCTTTTTTCTAGAAACCTAGTCAAACTTAACAAAGTTTGACCGCATGAATACCATAGCAACACTTATTTTGGGACGGTACTCTCTCCGTGCCCAAATAAATTAATTTCTAGAATCTGTGCCAGTCACACTTTTTTAAGTTTGACTAACTTTATAGAAAAAATAACATCTATGTCATAAAATGAGCACCTTATAAAAATATATTATATGGTAAATCTAATAATACCAATTTAATACCATGAATCCAAACATTTTTTCTAAAAATTTGGTCAAAGTTTAAAAATTTTGATTTAAGACAACTCTAGGAGTTTATTTATTCAGGGATAAAGAAAGTATAAACTAGTGGGTTAAGATTAGAGAAGCGGTAGCGGATTTGGATAATCCAAAGTTGAAGTGGTCTATAGATGTTTTGGATGCACTTAGGATATGATCTATTTGGATTTGGGTGTCCATATATTTGATTCCATAAAATTCATTGTCATTAAGTTATAAACTCCAATGTTGAACTTGACTATTTGATAGGTAGACTAACAACATCATACATGTTGTTGATGTGCAATTAGAACTTGGATTATATTTTTATTTAGAATTTTGTGTGTATGTCTTGATGGTTAATCAAGATGTTGTTAAGGAGACGTTGTTTACGGTTTGCATGGTGAGTTGTACAATGATTCACGCTTCGATCTACAAGAATTCGTCTTGGCCTACATGCTATGTTCCATATTTAGCCCGGTTTTAGATTTTAGATGACTATATAATATGCAAATAATTTTAAGCAAGGAAGAAAACACAAAGAGCATGGTTTTAGATAAAATTTAAAATTGATTTCATATTTTTCTGAGCTAAAAAATTTCTATGAATTTACTAAGGTTAATTTTATTTTAAATACTTTTTTCTAGAAAAAATTTTGAATAGATTTTTGAAAAATATTTTTATAATTTTTAATTGACCTCTCTAAACTATCACGAAGCCCAATTTAGCTCTATTGTAAGCTGACGTGGCATCGCGTAGGATCACTGACGTGGCGCCACGCCAGCTAGAACTGTTTCTAAAATGTCCAAAAATGTAAATGGGACGGTTTAAAAAATTGAGGGAATCTAAAAATCCAGTTTTAAAATCGATGGAGGTGAATTGAACTTGCAAGAGAGGTAAAATATATTTTTTTACCTTTCCAATATTGTTGGCCCATTTCTAAAGGAATCAAGCCCAATGGACGTATACGACCGTACTGAGCCTGTCGCCACTCTCGTGGCCCCCGCCGCCTTTGTCCCCTGGTGCTCTCCTGCAGCTCTGTATCCTTCTTTTGCTGACACAATGCACAACGGCTTATTGTCATCAGGTCGACAGATCCTGGATAAGTGATCATAAGGAACTAGTGGCCTCTTCTGAACATTTGCAATCTCTTCAATCGGACCGCACGCAGGGCTGAAGAGATGAAGGATGAGAATGAAACCACTGATCTGCAGGACAGGACAACAATTAGGAGGGCCGAGACACTGTCCAATGAAGATTATCAGGACCTTCTGCTACTACAGAGCTGTGACAACACATCCTGCAAAGCATCCCCTCTGAAACTGAACGCAAAGAGAGAACGATGTCTGCATTACATAGAAGCAGCACAGACAATACCAGGAAGTATAGGAGGAGATTAACTTCCCTCCTGAGCATGATTGTAATTGCTTTAGCAGTAATGCCTTGTTAATTAGGATATATAGCTATGGTGATGCAGTCTGTGCTCCTTTCTTCAAGTGTTGTATGACCTTGTTCGTTTTCATGTGCAAATAGAATCTGAATTTCAGTAGTAATGGCAACGCAACGACTAACGGGTGTGCTGGCCTGCCACTAGCCCACTGCCAGTATAGCAATAAAACACTACTACTACTAAGCAATTCAAGCAGTCTGCGTCATTGCAGAAATGAAGAGTAGTAGTGTAGGCTGAACTGAGTTCATCTCTGAAACTCAGTAGTGTTTTCTTAAAGACCACTGAGTTTCAGAGATGAACTCAGTTCAGCCTACAAACAAGATGGAGGCACGAAACGAAAAAAACAAAACAAAGAAATCCAGGTATATAGCAATAAAACACTTCTAGTACTAAGCAATTCAAGCAGTTTTAAGCGGCGTGTGTCGTTGCAGAAACGTATTGTCGGTTGGACTGAGTTTATCTTTGAAGCCGATCACTTGGTCGGATCAAGGACATGGCCCGCGAACACGATCACCCCGGACCGCTCCTCCATGATGAAGAAGGTGAAGGGATGGTCGGACGGTGAACTTGACGAGGTCAGGCGGTCACTAAGTAAAAAATAGTTTTTAGCAACGGTTTAATTTTTTTTTTTAGAGGCGGCTGATGATGGAGCCGCCCTACAGTGGCGTGCTCGGATGCCCAGACACCAGCCGCCCCTACAAATGAGGTCTGATTTGTAGGGGCGGCTTAATCACCAGCCGCCCCTGCAGTTGCTATTTGTAGAGGCGGCTGGTGACTGAGCCACCCCTACAAATGCCCCCGTATATATAGCTCCGATTTGTAGGGGCGGCTCAATCACCAGTCGCCCCTATAAATGACCCACATATAAAATAGCTGCAGCACCTTCTTTCTCCTCGGGTCACCCACTCCAACCCGTGAAAGAAAGGTGGGGAGGTCTTGGGCACCTCCCAAAAATTGCTCTACTAAGGGGAGAAGGTTTTGGTCTCAAATCCTTTGATGGAGAGGTTGTAGAAGGTAAGAAAATGCTATTCCACACTTTTTTTAAAGTTTTATTGGTTGGTTAGTGAGTAATTAGAGTTTTGTTTTTCTCTCTCTTCTATGGTGCTTGAGCTACTTATGAAGCAAATTAGACCCAAGTTTTAAATGTACTAGGGTAAATTAGGGAGGAGAACAAGATCATACCCTTATTTGGTCCATGTTTCTTAATTTTAGTGAACAATTAGTTAGTTTTATGGATGTTTCATGTGCATGTGGATCTAGATCTAGGGTTTGGTTTTTTTATTAATTTTGTTTTTGCAAATTTATGTTTGATGAAATTAGACTAGGGTTTGTATGAAAGATATTGGGTAAAGTATAATTGTTGCTAATTGTTGTCTTTGAAATTGTTTATTGTAATCAATAAATATGTATTTTAATTATTTATGGATAAATAGACCATTAATTAATTTTCCTCTACCATGGTGTGTTTGTATGCTTCATGTAATTATATTAGATTTATATTCTATATATATCTGAAGTATATACAATTATTCTTAAGTAATTATTAATCTATTTTATTTTTATATATATATGAATAAGTAGTCCTTTAATGTTTGTTTTGTTGTTGTTATAAAAGATGGAGTACAGGAACTCTTGGACGTATGGTTCGTTAAGGTTCAAGGCAGGTTTCCATGAAGAGGTGGATAAATTTATTGAAGCCGTAAAGAAGCATGCAACGACATTGAAAGAGAATAAGGATACAATTATTTGCCCAGGTAAAGATTGCAAGAACCGTATGGCATGGACAAATGTGACTATCATTAGATCACATTTGATTATGCGAGGATTTGTTGAGGACTACATAATGTGGATTCATCATGGTGAAATGGTTATTGTTAACGACGAGGATGAGGACGAATACGATGACGAAACCATAGAATCCCTGTCCCAATATTCAGCAGAGCTTGATGCATGAATGGATTTTGAGTTTGGCAATGAACAAGGTGGTGATGCTGGTGGTTGGGATGGTAACGATGAAGGTGGTGCCAATAATGATGGTGGAGCACGTGTCGGGGATAAAGATGATTTGGAGGACATGATTCGAGCCACTGGACAAGAGATTTTACTAAATAGCTCGAAAGGTCTATAAAATTTAGAAAGGGTGACAAAATCATCGAAGGAGACTGTGTATGGTGTTGAAAAGGACTGTCCGACACATTGGACATTGCTACGTTTTGTGCTTGAGCTGCTCATCCTAAAGGCTAAGTACGGTTGGTCAGACTGTAGTTTCAATGATCTATTACATCTCCTGTCATGGGTGCTGCCACAACCAAACTCAGTTCCCACAAACACATACCAAGCGAAGAAGGTCATAAGTCCATTGACAATGTGGGTTAAAAAATCCATGCATGCCCCAACCAATGTATACTTTTTCATGGCGAAACATTCAAGTCACTGGATAAATGTCCTCGGTGTGGGACCAGCCGATATAAGAACAATGACCTTTACGG